CTATATGTACACCTTGCTGGGGTCGTTTGACCCCAGTACTCTTTCCTGCCATGGCAGGGGGCTCAAACTAGATGATCTACTCAGGTCCCTTCTGACCCTAGAAACTATGAAACTCTGAAATTAAAATGGTGTCTCCTACCTGGGAGAAATGTCATCAAATGAAGAAAGAATTCACACAGTTCCATGACACTAGTACAGAGGAAAATAAAACAAGAAATCAAACTGTTAGAATTTGAAAATTCTTCAACAGCCTGCAAAATTAATACTTTCTGCTTCTAAAATTACTTAGCATCTCCTGTAAGGTCCTAACGATTTTTACCTCTCCCTGAGTTAAATGTATGTTAAACAATCTACACCCCTTAAACAATCTTGACATCTTGAAATTTGAGGAGTAACAGATAAACTCCATGGTAATTGTATGCGTCCTACTTATTGTTCCTAATATTTTCATGTGCTTCACAACACTTTTAATCAAGGCTACACACCAGCCGATTGGGAAAATGGTTATCATGTGCACATTTTACAAATGAGGTAACTGGAACATTGGCTAAGACCACTGCAGGCAGAGTCTGGGAAATGAACCCGAGTCTCGTCCATTTTGCCCCACTGATTTTTGAGTAAAAATGGCACAAATCTGCTTGTCTATCCCACTGTAATGACAACACAGGTCACATGACACACATTAACAATAAAAACATCTTCATCCACACAGGGGAGAGAATTCTTGTAATAATTTGGGTCTAAGTCTTAGATGTAAGCAGTGGTTGATAGCAGCTATCAACACCTTTCAATGTGGGTGTCCCTCATCTCAGTTCTGCTCAGTGTTCCAATGGGATTTAAAATGTTGACACCTTGCATGACTTATCTCCCAGATGGAAAAAAAAGAAGAAATAATTTAATAAGGTACAAGTCTGGGGAGAACAAGGGGACTTATGGAGACCCCAGCTTGTGCAACATGCACAACCTACAGAAGCCGTAGAGTTTAAGTGACCTTCCACACCTGAATAGGCTAAGGCAGGAACAATCACACGGGGAGCAGAGAGTACACAAAACCCTACTATGTGGCAAAGAGGGTAGCAGGGGTACACAGAGCCCCTCATGACTCCTGCGTATGGAAAGTACAGGAGACCAAGGTATATGGGACAGGTCAGAGGGCTGTACATTGATCCTGACAAGAGGGAAAGAATGGAACAGGGAACATGGGGGAAAAGGAGAATGGGGCTGAGTCACATAGAACATGGAAGAGTCCTGGATATAAAGGGTTTCAGGGGGCAATAGAGTAATAGGGAGGCAAGAGAAACAAACATCTACTTAGGCAAAATGGGGAAGAGGTTATGAATGGTCTTGTAAACTAAAGATTATTACCACTGTTTCAGAATATACTGAAACTAGCATAAACACAGTATTAGTAAAATAAAAATGCCTTTTTGTAATAATAGGCAGGCAAAGTCCTTTAGGTAGATGTGATATATTTTATTAGACCAACGAAATAGTTGGAAAAAAAGTTCTTTGCAAGCTTTCGGGCACAAACACCCTTCTTCAGGCACTGGGAGACTGCTGCTGTTATGAGTTCTCCAAGGCAGAAAAAAAGCTAAACTAAACAAGTCTGTGAAGATGCAAATGAGTGGAAGTTTGAAAGACAAAGGGTAGAGATAGGAGGGGAAGGGGGGAGCAAGGGAAAAGTGTGAAGGAATGCAGGCGGTCAACTAAAGGCAGAGTCAGATGTAAGGCAGGTTGTAACATGTTATAAATTCAATGTCTATATTAAGTCCATGATTTTTTGTATTCATTAGATTTAGGAAGTGAAGTTCATAATAATAATAGCTCTAGTGTGGGAATTTCCATTAACAGAGCATGTTGTATGGAAAGGAGCTAGATTACATGTGAGATGGGGAGCTGTGCAGGCAAGGCTAGCCACCTATATGTGTGTGCATGGGTTAACTTACATGTTTAGTAGAGTTTATAACATTGATTAAAATTGTTTAGTATTTTATCTAGTGCATGCAGTGCAGATATTCCTTAGCATCTGATTAGAAATTGGAACTACTAAAGACAAGATGCAAAAAATAGACCAGCTAAACCTTGTAGGCAAGTGAGTGTTTGGAGGAAATGCAGCAGAAGTCAGGAGAAAATAGAAGCAAAGGTTTGAACAAATTCCCTGTCCTGTGAGTGGTGCAGACAACAAAGATAAATGGCTGCAAACCAGCTTTATTTCTTTTTGTGGCTGGAGGGGAAACAATAGAGCGATTTAATGCTCATCAGTCTGAGGATGCAGCAGATAAAGAAAAAACAAAAATCTTAATAAAATGTGTTTGAGGCATACTGTGCACCAAGGGAAAATGTGGCACAAGGCATAGTTTTCATTCATTGTCAGCAGTCCGTAAGTACAAGCACAACTGATTTGCTATTTACTAGAAGACTTCAATGAGTCTTTAGATAACTGAAGGGGTTGATCAGAGATCCACATGTTCAACTGCAAATGTGGCAAATACTTCCGGGAGGGAAGACTTGATCTTGGTGATGTTGAATCACAGATCTCTCCCTTTGTCTCTCTCATCTATCTGCCTCCATAATGAGGTGATTTGCTCAAAATGATTTATGTCTTGCTGTACATCACAACACCACTGGAGACAATTAATTAGTTGAGTCTCCCAGGTGTTGGTGTTAATATTGCATTTTTTCAGATTGGCCTCCAAGTTGTTTTTTAATCATTTGTTTTTGCCCACCTTTAAAGCAGAGTTTTCCAACCACCAGGCCACAGCCCAGAAATGCTGGGTCATGGCACAAGCCCCCCTGCTCGGACCCCCACCTGTCTGCCCAGGCAAGTGGCATCCACCACCAGCAGTCACATGTAGGGTTAAAGCTAGGCAGTGAGACAGCCCTGGGAGGGAAGCAGCCAGCTCCATGCACCCTGTCCCGCTCCTGTGCCAGTTTGCAAGTTGGGAATCACTGTTCTAGAGGGATGACCATTGGTGAGTTGGGAGTATAGGTTCTGTTATGGAGCTGGTTGTCAGGCATGTTTGACATATCCTGTCCAATGAAGCTGGTGCTGTGTAAACAAAGCTTTAAACAAGGCTTCAATCCTGGTGGCATTTGCTTGAACCAGAACACTGGCATTCATTCTTCTCTTTCCCATTGATACTGAGGATTTTCTGAAGACACCACTGATGGTAACATTCCAAAATTTTCCAGTGTTTTTGATATGTCATTCAAGTTTCACACCCATACAACAGGAAGGGATGACAACAGCCTGGTATCTAAAAGCAGCACTGGCAAATTTTATCTGACACTGAATATTATTGTCTATGTATACTTTTTAGGAAAGGTGGCTACCCAGGTAGGGAAAATGCTCAAATCTTTTCTGAGGATTGCCTTCTAATTGTAATGTGTGGAGGAGCAGCTGGTTGGTTGGAGTGGGTTGGCAAAGTATTGATTTTTATGAAGTTGATGATGGGTTCAAGAATCTGATATGCTTCATAGAATTGATCAAAAGTGACCTGGAGCTCTTCAACTGCGTGGGCACACATGATACAATATTAAAGAATAGTAATGGAGGTGTTGGTTATCTTGAATATGGAACATAACCAGTTGATGTTAAAGGGATATCCAGCCATGCAATAGTGGATGCTGAATTCAGATGAAAGTCTAGTATCATTGAGATGTGGAATAGCTGCAATACAGATAGAAAAGAATGCTGGCAACATATCCTTGCTTGACTGCAGTTCTAATAGTGAAGGGGCCATTGCTTAGGATGGTTTCTGTCATGTCATTGTGAAAGAATGGTAACAAATTTTGGTGGGCATCCAAATCTCATCAGAATCTTCCATAGGATAACATAACATCTTCCATGTTAATTGAACCAAAGGTCTCAGTCAGGTCAATGAAGGCCCTCTAAAAATCTTGGTGTTGTTTGAGGCAATTCTCCTTGCAGCTGTCTAGAAAAAAAATCACATCTATTGTACCTCTGAGTGATCTGAAACCACTTTGGGATTCCAGTAGAATCTCCTCAGTGAGGAAAGTGAGTCTATTGATGAGAATGCAGATGAGGATCTTCCCACTATAGATAGGAGTGCAATACCATGGTTATTGTTGCAATCTGATCTATCTCTGATGGAGATTGCAATCTATCTATGTATCTATCTTTCATAGATTTCATAGACATTAGGGCTGGAAGGGACCTCGGAAGATCACTGAGCCCAGCCCCCTGCGCTAGGGGCAGACAGTCAGCTAGGGTCAAAGGATCCCAGCAAGATAAGTGTCCAAATATTTCTTAAAAGAGTCCAGAGTAGGTGCTTGCACCACCTCTGGAGGGAGTCTATTCCAAGCCTTGAGGACTCAGACAGTAAAGAAGTTTTTCCTTATGTCCAGCCTAAAATGGCCTTGGAGAAGTTTGTGACCATCGGACCTTGTCATCCCTTGGGACACTCTGGTGAACAGGCATTCCCCCAGATCCTGATGCATACCCCTGATGTACTTATAGACTGCCACCAGGTCACCCCTGAGCCTGTGCTTTTCCAGGCTGAAGAGTCCCATGGCTCTCAGCCTCTTGTCATAAGGCCCATTCTCTTGCCCTCTGATCATGCACGTGGCTCTTCTCTGGACTCTCTCAAGCTTTTCTACATCCTTCTTGAATTGTGGAGCCCAGAGTTGGATGCAGTACTCCAGCTGCGGCCTCACCAAGGCCGAGTACAGCGGGAGGATGACATCCTGAGATTTACTTGAGAAGCATCTACAGATGCAAGCCAGAGCTTGGTTTGCTTTACCTGCTGTGACATCACATTGGTGGCTCATGTTCATCTTCTGGTCAGTCATGACCTCCAAGTCTCTTTCAGGCACAGTGATAGTGAGCAAAGCATTACTGAGTCTATAAGTGTGCTGTGGGTTTTTTCTCCCAAGGTGGAGCACCTTGCATTTATTGGTATTGAATGTCATCAGGTTTGTATCTGCCCACTTTTTAGGCCTATCCAAGTCAGCCTGGATCAACAGCCTATCCTCAGGTGTGGACGCTCTACCCCAAAATTTTGTGTTATTGGCAAACTTGGCAGTCTACTTCTGACACCAGTATCCACATTGTTGATAAAGACATTGAAGAGAACAGGTCCAAGGATGAAGACTTGGGGGACACCACTGGTCACGGAGTGCCATGATGATTCACTTCTGTCGACTACCACTCTCTGGGTTCAGC